ACTTAAACGTACTTTAATTATTTTTTTTAACATTGTAAGTTTATCTACAATCTATGATATTTCCATATAAATAATTATATTTTAGCTCATTTGTGGCACAGTGCAGCGGCGGGCCGTAGTTTGGTAACCTCTGATCTAGACAGTAAAAATAAAACGAAACTTCTGTTTTGTTTTTGTATAAATCATCTTTCATCCAAAATATAAAATGTTTATGAACATTTTCTAATACTTAACACAGTGGCTTCCAATTTTTTTTTCTCTGACGACACGCTAACCCAGTTTCTTTAATTTGCGCGAAACTCCTGCTGCCACATGGAGTATTTTTTATAACTTTTTTTTCTTTTATGTTCTTATTTAGTCTTCGCGAAATCCCCAGTAACTTGCCGTGACACACACTTTGGAAACTATTGACTTAAACCTACGAGGCCCGGTGGTTAGTGTGCTAGACTCGCGATCTGAGAGTTGCGTTTTCGAATCCCCGACACACCAAATATGCTCGCCCTTTCAGCCGTGGTGGCGTTATAAAGTGCCGGTCAATCCCACTATTCGTTGGTAAAAGAGTAGCTCAAGAGTTGGTAGTGATGACTAGCTGCCTTCCCTCTAGTCTTTCACTGCAAAATTAGGGACGGCTAGCGCAGATAGCCCTCGTGTAGCTTTGCACGAAATTCAAAAGAAACCGAACGTTAACATACGTCTCACTTTCTCAAATTCTGTGATGAATTTTATAAATTCTAAATAACGGTGCACTACTGATCTTGTTGGTTTGTTTACGTTTACCTCTAAATATTAATCAATTACAAGTTCATAAAATACCCGAACATTTTGTTGTTACTTTCAGGCCTTCTGTGTTTATGATGTTTTTAAACAATATTTTTAACATACGACCTCTTAACTTAACCAGAGTGCGCTGCTAAACCGCTATCAGCCGGGATATTATGATATGTCATACAAATTTGTTAAAATACAGCTTACTTGATGAATCGAACAGAAATCCTGAAAGAGATATGTATTTATGACGATATAACACAATGAATGTTTTTAGGGTTAGTGGGAGAGATATTTTGTTAAAAAAAGTGGTTTCTGATAATCAGTTCTTCTAATGCTTTTTTTCACTGAGAGTTCGCAACCGATTTATTTTCAAAACTCTTCAACTAGTAGTTTTGAAATTCGAGTGCTAAGAGCGTCAATTTCGAAGCTAATCTGCAAGCGCAAGGTTGCAAAATGCTTGGAATGTTACCAGTGCAACAGACGCGAATATAATCACGAGGGATACTCGTGAGCGTGACGATGTAGGTAAGGTGGTATACTCGTTTTTTTTAGCAGAGCTTGTTGTCCAAAAGCCGCTTAAGAAGCTCAAAGAAGCTCTGGATGTATTTATTAAAGCAGATTTCGCAACCGACAATATGAAGGGATTTCATTCCAAGAATGGGGTAAACAAACGATGAAAAGGAACAGAAATAAAACACTTCCTGTAGCTTTATAGCAGGGTGAAACTAATAGGATATTCGTGGTACTAACGGCAGGACTGCTAGCTAAAACATACAAAACGAGTCAGTATAACAGTAATAAACCTAGTGTGTGTATATCCCACTAGGGTTTTCGACTACTGATTAGAATGTGTTAGCTATAAAAAAATGAAAATAAATACATCTCGACTCGACGAAGGATTTTTAATGGAAGAAAGATAGCAAATGAATGATGTGGTTTAGAAAGAAAGTTCCAAGTAAAAGCTAGCAGGAGAAGAGACAGACCTAGCCAACACGAAAATCATGGTCGGGGGTTAATAAGGTGGCCATATGACAGATGTGACCATCACCCGAAGCTGCTTAATTTTGGCATTGTGCAACTATTTACCAGTGGAACCTTCAACCTTTTCAACTTTATCACAACTATGGGCAGATAACGTCCTTCACATCCCTGTAATTTTCTCTGGTTAAGTCAAAGATCTTTTGTTAATATCACAAGATGTATAACTGAGGAGTACGAAAAACTTAAAGACTATTTTTAATATATAACTCAGGAGATAAAATAGATTTTCAAAAACACCAATACAAACAAAACAACAACACCCCCCCCCCCAAAAAATGAAGCGTTTCTGTACATTAACACCAAAAACGAACGACCTTTAATGAAACTTCTGTCTAGATTAACATCAGTTGTGGGGGCGTTGTTATAATCTTACAGTTAATTCCGCTATTCGTTTGTTAAGAGTAGCTCAAGAGTTGGCGGGGGGTATTGCCGACAAGTTTCCTTCTTTGTGGTCGGCAGTTCATAATTAGGAACGGCGGCAAATAGCCTTACCAGTTTACCTTAAATATCTGAAAGTGTTGGATAGAAAAATTACAAAACTTGTCGTCAGTTTTATTTGTAGGCTTACTATCTAAATATACAAATGTTGGATAAAGCTATTTTTCTATTAATATTATTTACTTTCGAAAAGGCCTAAGAAATCTTCCTTCTCGACGTATATCTAAATGCTTGTACTGACGTCACGACGGTACAAATTGTAACGTCAACGTCTCTTATGTGACGTCATTTTAGTGTCTACTGACTGACTGACCGGTAGCTATAGTAACAAGTGTTACACATCAAGTGTACAAAACTGAATGGAAAATGTTGTGAACATTTGTTTCTATTCTCAAAGAACAGCTGGTTCACACAGTAGGCTAGATGACTAAGTCAAACACCTCAAGCCATAGTTATCATTAATTCTCAACTGTAGACCAGGGGGGATAACAGTCAGTAGCACCTACTGATTGAAGCTGCCACATTTAACCGCGTAGCAGGATTGACTTTCACGCTTATAACGCACTCAATGCTGAAAAAGTGTGAAGCATTTTTTCATTGCACCAAATGTCCAATCTTAGACCTCGGATCGTCGGTCAAATACACTAACCAGCAGGCTACGCTCGATCTAATCGACATACATATCTCATTAAAACACACACACAATGTTAGGTGTATCAGAACTGTATCAATAAATGTGTTTCCAGTTATAATTCATCGCCTTTTGGATTTTTATTTCACAAAATGTTACATAAACAATACACAAGATATAAATAAAACAAAGGTAACATACAATGAGATCTTTGCTACGAGAGATTCAAAAGAAATTATCCTAACAATTAAAATATCATGAAACATTACTGACTGACATCTGTGAACCTACAGATACAAAGAATCAACAATATAAAGTAATAACATGATATGCATAGAAAATTTTTGTATCGAATTATTTCCAAAAAAGTTTGTTTATTTGCTTTAATTCAAAGTCACACTGGGCTATTTACCGTGTTCACTTCGGGGGAATCGAGCCCCAGATTTTAGCGTTGTAAGTTCGTAAATATTCTGCTGTCTCACCGGGGAAACTTTCCAAACAGGAATGCTCTGTTTACAAAATATTAACAATTGACAAAGTACCCACAATTCATAATGGTTGTAATTTTTTTTCTTGGCTTTTCACGAAAACCTTGCTTTATATGAAATTATTTTTTACCAAAGAAATACACTGAACTGTTTCAAAGACGTACGAGATTCTAACGTCCGTAACGAGGAACGGCGTGGATGGACCTTGGTGTCTCTAGCGCCCTCATACGGAGGCGGTTGAATACGAACCTTTAGGCGTGAGTGAATTTGACTGGGTGTTCTTCATGGAATTGATGGAATGATGAGAAAGACTTCGAGAGGCATTAAGACTGCTCATTGTCCCCATCTGTCACGTCAATCAAAATCAAATGTTTATTTATTTATATTTTTCAAAGAAGTATAAGAAAGTTTGAAATACGTTAAAAATGAGATTTAATTAAAATATATAGAGCTTGATTAAAAAGCTATCGATGAAGAAGAATAGACAAAACTGGGTCACATGAGACTTAATGTTTCATGACCCTATTAAAAATTATATCTAACGTTGCCTGGCAGCATTTGAATCAAATGTCATTGTTTGACATTTACTATCTTATAAATATGAATGCTGAATGCCATTACTATTGTTACAGTTACGGTTACATGCAGAGACAAGAAAATCACTGTTTAACAACACAATCGGCTGTATGTTAGCATAAGAAACTGATAAACAATTACGTAAATACTTTGTTCTAAGGCAGCATACATATTTCATACACGACTCATCACTAGTGGTTGAAAAAAAAAGGACAATTATTAGCAATCTAACAAAGTTTGTTACAACATTACCGCTTTATTCTTAAAATACCAGCACTAAAAAAAAACCAATAAATATTTAGAATCCCATATTAATGTCGCTAGCTAATTCACCAAAATTAAAAGGATTACCTTAAGTTTTGCCATGTCTTCAAGACGTGTTATGTCAGCAAGTTCTTGGAAATTAGAATACACCACCAACCAAAAGAATATCTGACGAGAAAATAAACCAGTAATCAGAACAACTGATAATTGTTTTATTTGTTAGAGAGTACTTTTACCTATATAACTAACCAGCTGTCTTCATCTATTATGTAATGAAATATTATGATTTTACAGGATTAAACTAATCTTAATTGTTCTTGGAGCAGTGTTGATTTTTCTATGAATCATTTTACCAGAAAAACAGATTATGTCAGAAGAATGAACGAATGTTTTTGATGTATTTTAAAACATTATATAGTTTGCAGTGTATTACGGAAAATTTTGATTTGTTAATATACGAATCATGGTAGCTTTCTTTGTTAGGCTTAACGTCGTATTTTCTGAAGAAAAAAACAACAATAAAAACTTTTAGTTGTATCTTTGTTGGAGAGATATCCTAATCAATTACGTTAATCTCTCTTATTTACCTACTCGCCCACTTTTATCTAACTATTTATGACAAATATTTAAACCTTAATGTATCCAATCTTTAAATCGCTATGTTTTTTGTTGACTTACATTTGCTGCGATAAGGATGATCCATATAACCAGCATGGCCTGGTGATAACTATAATATATATCCTAGAAAAACAATCAAACCATAAGCACAGTACACGAAATGATGCACACGCTATCTTTACACATTATCAGCATATTATACATTATACTTGTGTTACCGTAATAATAAGGTAAAAACTGTTAAGTAACTGATCCTACAACATACTGTAATATTACCAGTGACGACTGTAAACACCGAGTAGGCTTAAAACAAACATTGAAGGGATGTATATACAAAAACGTAAAGATTGATTGGTGAAGTACACTACTGACATCTACAGGAATCATTATTTTTAAACATTACGATTAACATTTTTTTTAATATGATTCATTAATGTTATTTATTTTTTGTTATTGTTATGTAAATAAACATCAAAGAACTTGAAATTTTGTAAAATCACTTTTTATTACTAAAAATATTTCATGTGCCCATTCAGAAGCATAAGGACTGTAAGATACAAAAAGGGACAGTTGCGACTATAATAATAAATAAAATATGAAGTGGTTAATAAAATAAAAATAAAAAAAACAGTTTTTAATATATTTTCCTGTTTTTATTTCCTTTTTTTAATCACTAATAAATTTAGTTTATCAAATTGTATGGTATTTTCTTAAAAGTGAGGGCAAGAAATGGGAGGGGGGGGGCAGAAGTTTATACTTAACCCAGGGTCCACCAGTTCCTTAACGCACTGACAAAACTAACTTAAAAAGTCGTTTAAAATATTTGTCTTGATAACTAATCAAAATTATGTGAGAAGTAGAAGTGTTTGTTTGTTTAAAGTTAAGCACAAAGCTTCACAATGGGCTATCTGTGCTCTGCCCACCACGGGTATCGAAACCCGGTTGCTAGCGTTGTAAGTCCGCAGACAAACAGCTGTGCCACTGTGGGGCAGAAGAGAAATGCATCAGTTACAAAGTCAAGATAAAAAGATTTAATATGTAGAAGAAAAATATGGCTAGTCTTTCGGTCAAACGATATATATTCAGATCACCTAACATGTGGTCGGCACACAACATCTTTTATTCAGTTTTGTACACAGTATTTATTTCTTAAAATTTAGATATTTTTTATTCAATACTTTGCAGATATTAAGATAAAACATTAATAACTGACTCTATGTTCACGTTCAATAAGTTTTTATTGTCTTCCTGTCAAACTTCCTGTGCTAGGGTACTGTTTTTTTTTTAATTTGATAAATCAATATATTAATAAATCAAACAATGGGCCTACTTACATTGCTAATGGAACGAAAAATAATCGCTATTAAACGCCAAACAGTGAAGAGAAATGCTGCTATTAACCAAGGTTGAAACTTTTGTTCATGTTCCTATAAAATATAGATATAAAATAAAATGTAATATACAAACAGCACTTAAGATATCTTTGTTTCACACTGATAATTATTATACTGCTCTCTGAACACCAGGGGTGCAAAGAAAAGGAAGAAAATGGGCTATAATGTATTGATTTTGAAGTTACAAATACTTCTGGTATTCCTACGTCAACTGCAATAGATAAACAAATTATGGATCAAAATTTTATTACAGAATATTGACTTTACAAAGTTCCCATTTTTTACAGCTCTTACGATACATACACTCTTTAAAGTTTTAAATGCTAATCGAAATATTAAACTTATTTAAAAAATGACACCAATATATCTTATTTACTTTATAAAACAATAAATTCTTCACTCGTCGAAGTGTACAGCTACCAAGTCAGTTACACAAAAGAATCCCGAAAAGCACTTTTAGCGGTGTAATTTAAACAGCTTTGTTTACCTTTAAAACAATTTCCAAGTTATATTTTTGAAGGTTAAAATATAGATACAAAACCTACCTTTTTTAGAGCATTTAACAGAATAAAGGAGCTCACAAGTAAGTACAGTGAAAGCAAAAAGGAAACGGCTGAACAAAAGATCAGGAGATTTCGAACTGAAAGAAATTTAAACTGTTTTAATAATTTGCGAAAATTATTTTGTTGTAGTTAAAAAGTTGATTTTTTTCACTGAAATTTTAGCCAATTCAGAATATACCGACTTGAATTAAAATCCAATATGTTATGTATTCATAAGTAGCCAGTTGTTTTCTGCAATGTTATTTAATCTTTCGGTTTTTCTAATCATTCTTACATTGTGTTTACTTATACAAAATTTGTGCAAAGTTTGGTTACAAATATCTATAACAAACAAGAATTTCTACGAAAGTACACTAGAGTTTATATTCAAATATTTACATATTTGTGAGAAGAAAAATCATTGTCTTTCAAATAGGTGTTTATGGCTTATTTTTTATTGATTATGTTACACCTACCATGGGCATTTCCGCTGTAAACGAACAAAAAACTGATGTCGAAATACCGGTAATTTGTTGTGCCTGGTTGGGCTTCAGATAAGCAGTATATGTCAAACACTACCAGACAAATCATGAAAATACTTTCCACCTGTAAAATAATATATGTTCTAAATATATGTTCTCTTACCTCTGTTTAAGCATCCAGTCTGATCTGCTTTTAAAAAAAAAGTATTTTAAGTTTGTTTGTTTTCAGTTAACGATATAGTACGTTTATGACTGAAAAACAACAACAACCCACAAATATAAAACGAGCGTCATTTCGATGAAACTTTGTAGAATGGATGGCAAATGTCTGTTGCAGAGACACAAGTTTAGAGGACGACGTTTCGAAAGTCTTCCGCCTTGTGTCTCTACAACAGGCAGTTGCCGTCCATTCTACAGTTTCATCATGAATACTCTGCCTAAACAATCAATCAAAGAGTGTCATTTCGTTTGTTTATTCCCCGAAAGGGGGCCGAAGGCCACCTGGAGGAGTCACCTGTTTTAATTACCCGCACCACTCTACAGTAGTGTGTTGTCTGTCAGTAAGTAGACACTCAAATGACGTCACATAAGGGACTCTTAACGTTGCAAGTTGTGCTGTCGTGACGTCAATAAAACGTGTGCATGCCATGAATCACGAGAAGAATTATGCATTCTGTAGGCTACAGCGCAGCATGACATACGAACTTGAAAAGCAAGAAATAAAAATATTTGTTACTCATGATTTTGGTTTTATTTACTCTTTTTTTGTCTTGATTTCATCTCATTTCATAGCAGCTGGTGCCCTCTATTTTTGAAAAGTAAAGGCTCATACCTTCAAAGTTCATTCAATATTTGTACGTCCTGTACAGGTTTTTATTTAGGACTATTTCACCTTCACCTAGTACCATATTTTACTCTTTTTATCCTCCACATAGAATATAAATTTGTATATTGTAATACAGTTCCCTTCACCTATGTTGATACAACAAACGCCTTTCTAACCTCCTCTTTTTTCTTCTACAAATTTAGGAGAAACGTTAATTATAGATCTAAACAACAGCTCTGTATATCTTGCATTTATAATTTTGGTGCTATATAATTTACACCAAACATGCCCCATCATCACGCTAGAGGGCTCATCTTGCATAAAATTAAATTTGTTCGTTATAAGTACAAAGATACAGCTTTGCTGTGCTCATGGATATCGAAACTCGATATTGAGTGTTATAAGAATTCAGACATTCCACTGAGCTGCTGGGGAGGTGGGGGTTGTAAAATTAAGAAAGGGGAGATTAGTATGAGCAAAAAAACTAAGCACTATGCGAGGTTCGGTAAATTCTTTTGTTTCATTTTTGGTTGCTATATACAATAAATATATATTTAAACTATGCTGTATTGTTTATATTACTTAGAATTACTCCAAAGTAAGCTTTAGAATAACAACATTATTGCTTGGAATTTGGATAATCCAAGACGTTTTTTAGGCTACAGGCACGAAGTAAATAATACTTGATTTAGGCTAGAAATATATTATATACTTAAGCCTACTATTGTTTCCAAGGTAAGACATTGTTCCTTTTTTATAAGTTAGTTTATTGATACACCCTACAAAGTACAAAAACACCGGAAGCGGAAGGTTAACCTATGCCTAATTTATTTAGTAACGGCAGTACTTGTTATTTGAGCTGTACGTATTTTTAAAATATCGACAGACCTTATTTGTATAATACTTAAAACACTCGTACTTACAATGCTGTAAATAAAAGCAATGTAACTTCCATTCTGTAAGTCTGTAAAGTACGCATCTCTAAGTAAGGGTCTTTTCTGTATCCAGCTTTGCTGTTTGCTACTAGTAAGAGACGAAGACATGGTGCAGTTTAGTCAACTGCCACAAACTAGATAACGTAAGGTTAGTCCTACAAAAAATGGCGTCGGTTTGTTTATCATGCAAGTTTCTCAACGTTTTGTCTCTCACAGGTAACGCCTATCACGTGACTCACTCAGGTGTTATATATGTGTTGTTCCTATATTTGTCACTAGATAGCAGCACCATTTATAACAAGTTTTTGTTTTGCACCATTGTTTTAGTGCAGGATTGCTAGAATGAACTTGCAAACAATGTGTCGGACACCACCTTTACGAATATTCGTA